AACAGCTTCGGAGTCTGAGCGTCATGATCGATCGAGTGCATGGCATTCACACTCACACCGCAGCAGCATCAGCATCAGCATCAGCTACTCTGACTGCAGCAGACTGCTCAGCAGCGTTGCCGACGGGAGATCGATCCCTGCTGCTGAGCGCAAATTTGTGTGGAGGAGAGCGCTGCGCGTGTGCAGCAGGACCTCTGCCTGCAGGAGCGAGATGTTCAAAAGCGCAAGAGCAGCGTGTGCCGCACGCACATATCGTCGCGGTCATCAGCCGGCCGGATATGAGCGTTCCGAGGCTTTCCGCAGCGCGCTAACGGGCCATATGTGCCGTCGCTGGAGAAGACCAAAGCACTCGCGATCATTCATCACTGTGACTCTGTAGATGGACGATGACAACGAAATGCGCTGCCGCGAAGCACTCCCATACCAGGCCTGCGTGCGCGACGAGTGCGCATTGAAATGCTCGCATTGCAGTCATGCTGTCAAAAAGTCCAAGCCAAGGTGTTTTGGAACAACTACAACATCGTCTCCCAAAAGTACGACGATTCTTTCTCGATCGGTCCCCGCGACATCGTCTTGTACGGGCAAGGGAACCCAAGCCGCATCACGTATTGCAGGCCCGGCAATTCCAGCTTGCCACCCTTTGGCGCCAGTGCGAGTCAAGATGGAATGAGGAACGTCCAGCCCTGTCGAGCTCTCGAAGACTTCCGAGGCTCTCCCACGACGGATCGAAGCTTCATGAAGCTGCAATCGAACCTCTTTGGCGCTGCTTACTGTCGCGCGGCTAAAAGTGAGAAATGAAGAGCGATTTTGATGCGAGAAGCTGCGGCGAAACGAAACAACACCACATGATCAGAGAAGAAAGGGTAGCGCGGCACGTGTGGGAAATTCTCAACTACTCACAGCAGACCACCGCCTGATTCCGTGCCGCTTCTCGCGATGACAGTCGCGCCTGCAGAAGCTGTATTAGGCAACCCTCCTGTTAAAGCAGGCGTCCCGCCGAATGCATTCTTCAAGTCCCAAATTGCCCACTGTGTTCCCAGTGCCGCACCGAACGAGTCTTCGTCTCTCCATTCCGCTTTGCCCGCAGAGTGCAGGCGAGTCCTGTACAGGACATTCGAAGCAAGCAGCTTTGGAGATGAAACAGTGAGAAGCACTTTGCGACCTGGTGTCAATGAAGAGCTCCGCAAGTCCATATTGCCCAGGCCTCCCGAGTACGATGTCGAAGCAGATTCGGTCCAGTCTAAGACGTGGAGAGTGCCGGCAATGTCTGAGACTAGCAGGAGACGAGCCAGAGAAGGATGATAGCGCACCGAGCGCAGCCCTTTTGAGAATTGATGGCTTGCTTCCTCCAGCAAAGTCCCATCTTCCTCAGGGAGCTCATGATACTCTGGCTCCGATCCCTCCGCAGACTGTGGCCTCACTGAAGAGGGCGTAGCGTGCAAGTTCAAGAGAGACAAGGTGCCGTCCGCTGTTGGGAAGTCGTTTCCAGCATGAGTTCAGGCCGCGAACTGCGCTGCGATCCGCATGGCGTGGTGACGCATCACGTCTGCTCACCTGAAGCAACAGCAGCATGAGCAGCGTATCCTTCCACATGACACCAGTCGACATCCACAGCGGGGCTCGAAAGTGCCAAGACTTCCCTCACAGAAGGGCTTGAGGATGACGCAGTCTCCCAAGCCGACGC